ACTAAAATCAATATCTTGTGAATCACTCGATTTGGAATAATGAATGAACTGTTAAATGTGTCTGTGTGTGTGTGTGTGTGTGTGTGTTTTGATTTCATAAAATAAAAACAATATTCTCAAACTTAAAGTCAGTTTACCATCCGTTTTAATTCATTCCAGGGTTCTAAAACTGGGGATCCATGGTCAGGTTTCAGGAGGCCCGTGAAGATCATGTAAAAACAAACACTACTTTTTTTGCATAAAAAGACGTGCATTCTTTCAGATTGTTTACTTTAAAGCTTAATCATATACAGTGTATCTCATATACGTGTGAGGCAATCGAATCTCAATAAATAACGTACATCACAAGCATTGTATTAAAAGTTGTATTTATGTGAATGTTTCTGGGGAAGGGGTCCATAGCTTTCATCAGAATCTGAAAGGGGTCTGTCACTCTAAAAAGGTTAAGAATCGCTGCTATAGAGGTACCTTAAAACACGATAATAGTAGATATATATTACTTTAAAAGTGCATTTGTAAAAAATATATATATAATAATAATAATGGCAATGATGAAAATAATAATAATGACAATGACAATGATAATGATAATGGTAATAATCATAATAACAATAATAATATTAATGTTGTTTATAATAATAAGGACAATGATATTAATAAAAAAAGAAGAAAAATAACAATAATAACAATAATAATAATAATAATAATAATAATAACAATAATAATCATCATCATCATCATCTTCATCATCAAACTAATTGATATACGAGATGCTGAATTAGCAAGGAATACTGAATTTATGAGGGATATAAACACTAGTTTATATTCATTGCGTAAAAATGGAGAATCAAGGGAAATATTATGCGGATATTGGAGGTTCTTTCTAAGTGATAAAATTTTATTTTCACAATCATATTTAGTAATATTCGTAACTGTCTTTGTTCCTGCGTTTAATTTCGTCTGGGTTAATGAACTTATTGGATTTAATTCGCTATCTTTTAATGCGCACACACACACACACACACACACACACACACACACACACACACACACACACACACACACACACACACACACACACAGAGGCACGCACATAGGCAGACACACACATACACACACACATATATACATATATACATAAATTTATATATATGTGTCTGTGTGTCAAAATCAATATTGATTCGACACCCAAAAGGTGAATTAGCTAAAACTGTAAAGATGTCAGGACCAGTAGAATTGCCAAATTCCACCTAAATGTTTATTTACATATTTTTTTTTATTCTAGAGGCGTATCAATATGACAAAATTAAATGTTGTAAGTAATAGGATGCATTATAGTAATTATCTATAAATGGCAGAGTTGTTCAAATGTTCATAATTCAATGAGGAAAGTATTAAGTTGCATTGTCATTACGTCCTTCGTCAGACGAGTCATTGCTTTCATCTCGTTTGCAGATATGAGCGCAGGGTGTTAAAAATCATGTTCTTCCTAGAAACTGAAGGTTGTAATGCTTGCTAAGAAAATCAATATAAATGTTAAATCTATATGAATTGAATTAGGATTATTCAAACGAGTTATGGCTTTCATCTTTTGTGCAGAGACAGAGAAAGCGGTTGGGAGAAATTTGTGGGAGAACATACTAGTCCAATGTCATTTTTTTTTTTTTTTTTTTTTTTTTGGGGGGGGGAGGCATGGCTACAATGGAATCGGTCAGAGGAGACAACTCCAATTTTGTTACAGAATGAATTGGGAAAGAAACAATAGATCAAGGTGAAGTGTAGGAAAGGAAGATATGAAAGAAGTGTAGGATTGATAACTTATTCGACCAAGTAAAAATAACGGGAAAAACGGGGAATCTTACATTTGTTTTTCACTATATTTATCATTATGATTATTGACTTACAGGTATTAAAGTTAAATTTAGCCATAGATTTGGATTTATTTAGTAAAAGAAAATTCCTTTCATTTTCTGATAATAAACCCATTGTAACGCCCCACCTGCTTCTTATCATTAGATTATAGAATAAAAGAAATTGGCTAAAACTGCTTTTACGACCGTTGTATTTTTAGCACACACTCAGCACAGGAATAAATTCAATCCACCCCATGAGTCTTCAAACCGTTAAGTCATGTTACTCACATTAAACTGAGGTAAGTCACAATTGTTTTTTTCTCGCGGTTTCCTTAAGATCCAAAACCCTGGGTGGTGGTGTCGATACTGAGGCAATATCATCATCTTTTGTATTAGAGTTGATATTGTAAGTAGTAAGATTATATCAAATTTTGTATATAATGAACACACACACACACACACACACACACACACATATATATATATATGTGAGTGTGTGTGTGTGTGTATTATATATTTTTAGAGGAGGTAGAGCTGTCCGGTATAAAGTGTGTGTGATGAAAATTTTATAGTGTTATTTTATGATGTACTTAAAATGATGTTACAAGCTAACAAGAATGATGTTGAGGATATAGGTGATGATGGTGATACTGATGATGAAAATAGTAGCAATGATAATGATATGATGATAGTAATAATAGTAATAACAATGACCATTATGATGATGATGATGATATAATAACAGTAATAATAATTATCATAATTGTTATTGTTATTATAATCATAAATGGAATGATATTGATAATCATAAATATAATAATACTGATAATGATGATAATAATAATAATAAGAGGAATAATAATAATAATAATAACAATAATAATAATAATAATAACAATAATAATAATAATAATAACAATAATAATAATATAACAACAACAATAATAACAATAACAATAATAAAGATGGTAATAATATAACAACAATAATAACAATAACAACAATAAAGATAGTAACACTCACAACAGCAACAATACTAACGCTTCCATCATTACGCAACAGAATCGAAAATGTTGCATGCAAAAACCAACCCTGGATGGCGCCACGAGCAAGCAAAACGGGATTTACATGACTGTGTGTAATCCAGTCTTAACACGAAAATAAAAATAAAATTGACAAGACAACGTTTATACCACGTGCACTTGAAACATGTAATTAAAAAAAAAAAACATTAATGCGTTGGATATTTAAATGAGAAGACATCTGTTGCAAAAAATGAGAGTGTAAAACAGATGTGTGTGGTGAGTGCGCTTAATTCGCAAAAAAATAAGTAGGAAAACTTTGTGCGGCCTCGGACCGAAAACTCGTCCTGCTCGGGGATATGCTGTCTCATGTGTACGTCTGTTTATACAAACACACGCTCGCACATACACACACGCGCGCGCACATACACACACTCGCACATACACACACACACACACACACACACACACACACACACACACACACACACACACACACACACACACACACACACACACACACACACACACACTCACTCACTTACGATTGGCACACTTTCTCTCATTTCTCCCCTTCCCCCCCTTCCCCTCCCCTCCGCTGTCCTCCCTTCCCCTCCCTTCCACTCCTCTCCACCCGTTTACTATCTGATCTTTGTATCTGCATTCGCGTGTTTTGGTTTTGGTTCGTATTTGGGTGTCTATCTTTCTTGATATTATTTTATTTTGTCTGTATATATTGTTCACAACGTACCCTGCGAGACACGGCCATGCACCTTTTGTACTTCTCTGTAAAATTGTTTGTCGTCCGCTGAACGTAATCAATTTATCAATCAAAATAAAATCTCTCTCTCTCTTTCTCTCTCTCTCTCTATGTACGCAATTTTTTTTACATCTGTCTTTATCACTCCTTTTCCCTCTTCCTCACTTTCTTCATTTGTCTCCCCGACCCCTCTCTTCATCTTCCCCTCTCCATGCGTCTCCAAATTCACCGCCGTCGCCGACACGGGCAGCGGCGCCAGCGAGGAGTGTCCTCATCGTAACCACGGCCACGTGTCCCGCCAGTGAGTTCCAGGTAACCGTCTCCTCCCCAGAGCGTCTGCTAAGGTCCCACGTCGCCTCTTCTTCCTAACAACGTATTCTTTTTTCAGGTCTTCTTTGATACGCTTTTTGCCTTTTGGGGAAACGTTTTTCCTCCTCTTTCTGTACTTCCCCGTGTTTTTTTCCCTATTACATCTGAATTGGGGACAGGCACTTTCTGTCTTTCGTTTCTTGCGCCTCCTCTCCCTCTCTCCTTCCCGCCCCCCCTTCCCCCAGCCACTCGCCTCATGCCTGGACCCGCCCTCTCCATGTACCGCGCTAATGCCTTTGAGATGCACTCGCTGTTTGAACTCTGCATGCTTCTCATCCAGGCTGCGTCGATGCACTTCAACCTACAAAACACCTGCTCGCCGGATACCTACTTAAACCACTGAATAAAAGCAACGTATGGACATAAATATAATCATGTCCCTTTCGACCTTGCGAAGACAGGAAGGGACTCCTCACGGTGGCGAGATTCCTTCCTCAGAACCACTGCAACTCTGCCGTTTTATTGCCAAACATGAAGACGGCCATTAAAGCAGGAGAGAGAGAGCCTGGCTGCGCTGGACGTATCTCCCTCCGGTTATTGTTTACATCGTAAAAGAGTTTAGCAGGAGAGAGCTTGTTTACATCCCTCTCACTTATCAGCGACTGCAACCATGCATCCCAGGACGTTAATGCGTGACTTTGGAGAGATAGTATGTCTTTAACGCCGGGCTGTATCTCAAAGGCAGATGAGTTTCGGCAATCAATGGACGTCGAGGTGGCAGTACCGAGTTAAGCGATGGCATGTTTTCTGGTGGTGGAGTTATATATGCAAGGTATTAGTTTTGGTTATTAGTTTCGTACTGAAGGAAGAGGAAGATGGTGGGGGGTGAAAAGAGGTAGACTGATAGGGGGAAGGAAGGGAGAGAGAGAGAGAGAGAGAGAGAGAGAGACAGACAGACAGACAGAGACAGAACAGACAGAGGAATAGACAGATGAGAAACAGAAAATTCCCAATACAAATAGTCGCTACACGACACCCAATTCATTTCACACTTACGTTATCCAAAGGAAGTTGGTTTACTCCCGTGCGCCGCTTTACTGAAGTACATGCTGTAGGGAGTGGGAGAAAAAGTAAAACAAGGGGAAATGTTGCCGCCAGTGCCACATGAACGTAAACAAAACATCTATTGTCATACATATTCTCAGATCTTAACAAAAACATATCAGGAACGGAAACTTTTGTTCAAAAAAGAATAACAAATCGCAGAGCATGAAAAAAATATTAACAATCTTATAAATAAAGTTTATTAAACTTAGGCTATATAAAACAAAGAAAAATATCAGGAATATTAATCAGCAATAAATACTAGTGGTAAATAGGTTAACTAGAGTTGGTGTTATGTGCTAAGCAAAATGAATTACATTTTGTTAATAAAAGCTGAAGCAAGACGCACATATGAAAAATAAGGTAAGAACAGTAGCCGAA